ACATAAAACGCTGATCCTCCAAAGTTTAAATTGCTGCACCATACTTACGTGTTCAACGTGTTCACTAAACTTGTTCACAAACTGAAACAATGTACAAATCTAATACTACATGACGAAAACTATACTTCCTTTGTTGTCTCATTATTCATCCACAAAATAGGTGGGAGGGGAGGGGGACGCTTATTCCAGGGGGGGGTGCTAATTTTAAATTTCGGCTGATAGGAGGGGCGCTCATTCGAGGGGGGGCGCTAATTTGAGGAATTACGGTAGCTTCGCAGCAGGGAGTGGCTACCTGTGTACACTTTGTAAAATGGGGTACACCTACCAATGGGCAACAAAAGTAGTTGAGACACTTATAAAAATGGCGCTTTCTTCTTATTCTATTTTATTTGCATCTAGTGTTAATTCTCTGATATCCCCAGCCCCCCAATTCAATGTTGTGTAGGCGTTGTGGTCTGTGCAGTGTAAGAAATAGAAAAATCAACATTGCACTTTAATAACTTTGCATTCCCTGCGGGTATTAACCTAAAACTAATCAGGTCCTTTATTCATCGCAATCCTATAGAAGATCATCAGAAAGGGGGCCAAATTGTGTACATCTATACAGAATATGGCCAGTGTAACCTTTGACTTGCCTTAGGCTATACTCGAGGGCTTAAAACTTTCTTGAAATATATCGTGATGAAACAGAAGTATCCAAATCAGTAGATACTGTACTAATTTAGTATAGAAGAATTGCACTTTCCATCGCAAGTATCAGTTTATTCATTGCAAAAGCGATTATGCATTTATCACGCAGCAAAATAACACCGTCCAGCTGTGGCAAGCGTTTATTGTCTTCCAGTTTTCTTCCCGTTCTCTCTGATTCTTTTATGGTTGAAATCAGAGGGTTTCTTTCAGTTGATGCTACATTTTTTGCTTTGTGCTACAGTCTTGTTGGACAAACCAATGGCATTCAGTGTGTAAGAAATTGTGGTTGAAAACTGATAAAATTCTTTCAATTTTTTTCTTTCAGGTCTAGCAGATGTATTCATTTCTAAAGATGGAAATAAGCACCAATCTGATGTGAAAAAAGGACCACAATTTGCACCACAACAACTAAAGGATGTTGCTACAGTAGTAGCCAAGAGCCCATTGGATGATCACACAAGGTCACCATGTAACCCTCAACTTCCAGGCTTCCCACGTCCTGGCGGCACAGGTGTTTCAGCAAGAGATGACTTCTCCGGTTCTTTTAAGGTAGATGGGGTAGAGTCTACTGTGTTTGAACAAGCAATCCAAGCGGCATTGCCTCAGGATGTGAGATTTGATGTTCTGGTGACAGAAGTGGTGTCCCCAGGGCTTATTTACTGTCAGCTTGGAACTGTCGAATCATTGCAGAATGTTGCTAAGTTGACCCAAGATATGAATTCGCATTACAATGTTGTAAGTTACCCCCCTTTTGTTCCACAGGAGAATAGCCTATGTGCAGCACACTTTGCTGAAAGTGGAGACTGGTGTCGGGCCTTTATCACGAAAGTTTCCATAGATGGTTCTGTTCATGTGCATTACCTTGATTACGGGAACACAGAAATGGTTCCACCAGTTCGCGTGCGACCACTCCTTCAACAGTTCAGTTTTGAAGCCTTGCCATTTTCAGCACTAAGATGTTCATTAGCAAATATTGCCTCGCCGGATGCATCAGGTTGGTCTGACGAAGCAGTGGCATTTGTTAAAGCTCACATTCCATTATTTAGTCTATGCGGTGTGCGCTTGGTTGGAAAACAAAGAGGAAAGCTCTTTCTTGACGTCATAGCAAAAGAAACAGGTGGAAGTGTCAGTAAAACAATGGTTAATCAGGGGCTAGCAATTGCAATGGTTAACGTTTCAGATAAGCGATGTAGTGTCAGTTCATTGGAGTCCCTTGTCTACCAACCTGCAGTTCAGTCAGTTACATTGCCTCAAGACAGGTCACTTTTTGATGTGATGGTAACCGAGGTTACAAAATCCGGTGTGTTCTTCATACAAGTAGCAGACCATGACACAGCCCAGAATTTGAAGAAACTTTCTGAGGACTTGAATACGTTCTATCACTCATCAAAGCCGATGTCTTACGAGCCTCGGCCAAACCAGTTTTGTGCAGCCTACTTCGCAAAAACCGGTGACTGGTGCCGTGCGTTAGTCAGAGAAATAGGTTCTGATGGTTTGGTTCAGGTGCATTATGTTGACTATGGAAACACCGAGAAGCTTCCGATATCTAGTATCCAGCCGCTTATGGATAATTTCACTACATCTCCTTTCTTTGCCTTACCATGTTCATTAGCAAATATCGCACAACCAGAATCTCCTGGATGGGCAGATGAAGCAATGAAACTTATCAAGGAAAATGTTCCCGTGTTCCATCGACTAAGTGCCAAAGTGGTAGGCAAACGTCGAGGAATGCTGTTTGTTGATTTCTTGATTTCAAAGGATCACCCGCGTTATCTCAGTCAGTTATTGCTGCATGAAGGCTTTGCTGAAAGGTTCACGAGAGTCTATAGGCAAGGTGGGGAAGCTCACAGAGAAATCCAGAGGGATCTTTCTCGACCACAAGAGGAATCACTGTCAGTAAACAGTGCTGCATCTTCACGTGTGGAAGCAGACGTGTTTGAGCCAGCTTATCAGTCAATTCAAGTTCTTGATTCCTTTGATGCCATGCTAACCAGTGTTGTATCCCCAGACCTACTCTTTATTCAAGTTCTGAGGCATGAAAAGGTTGAGAGCTCGAAGCAGCTCTCAGAAGGTTCCACCAATCCACCTCCACCCATGGAGGATTTAAAGTGCTCATTGTCTGGAATCCGTCCTGCATGCTCTAGTGGATGGTCTGACACTGCTCGTGAATTACTGCTGTCCCAAGTGCCATTGTTTAGCTGTGTGAATGTCAAAGTGATAAGAAAGGAAAATGGGTCATTAGTTATTGATGCAACGTCTTCGAATTCTCCCAAACAAGAGACATTGAGCCAGTTTCTTGTTAGTCAAGATGTTGCTCGGTGGGAAGATTTACCAAGCCCACCAAAGAAACACATGCAGCCGCTGTGTGAAAGAGGGTATTCAGGACAACACGCTGAACTGCCTAGCCAATCTCCCTCAGGAGCTGTTTGTAGCAGCAGCAACCGGGTTTATGCTTCAGCAATTCCCCTAGTGGATGTTTCACAGAACGTTTCCTACGAGGTCATTATAAGTGAAGTTCAACAACCCAACAGGATCTTTTTTCAAGTCATGAGTCGAGAAAATGAAGAGGGACTTGCAGCATTGTCAGTAATGTTGAATACCCATTGTTCCACAGCTGATAACAGCCCATATAAGCCCGAAATTGGGGAGCTATGCTGTGCTCAATTTACTGATGACGGAATGTGGTATCGTGCAGTTGTTGAACAAAAACTTTCAGACTCCAGGATGTTGGTAATGTTTGTTGATTATGGTAACCAAGATTCCGTTGCGGTTGACTCCATCAGACGAATCACCACCGCGTTCACGCGATTTCCCTTGCAAGCCAGGCAGTGCTTTTTAACAGGTATCCAGCCACAGTCCTGTTGGTCGCAAGATGCTGTGAACTTCTTAAAAGGGCACTTAATAGGAAGGCACTTCGTTGCAGAGATTGAAGGCGTGACAGGAAAAGAACTGGGACTGAAGTTGTTTGAAGTTAGCCCTGGTCGGAAGCCACATGGGATCTCCATCAACCAAGATTTGATTCTACGCAACTTTGCTGCAAGTCATGAAGCCTGCTTTTATCGAAGGCTTGAGATGAATGACCCAAAGGAAGATCAGTTTGATGTTCTTATAACAGAAGTTATACATCCTGGGGAGATATGGGCACAAGTCATGTATGCTGAGTCGCACCACTTACTTAATTTACTCATGAAGCAGATCAACCAACACTGTATGTCAACAACCGTGCCTAACATCATGCCCAACCCTGGCCAGGAATGTTGTGCACTCTTCACCCTGGATAACACGTGGTACAGAGCACGTGTGTTGGAATACGCTAAACCAGGAGAGATTGTAGTCCAATATGTAGACTTTGGCAACAGTGAATTGGTAACACCAGACAAGATAAGGTCCACAAGAGAAGAATTCTTTGACCTCCCTGCCCAAGCTCTCAAGCTCAGCTTAGCGAATGTTCGCCCTGCCTGCCACGTTTGGAACCAAGAAGCAGTGGAATGGCTTAAACACATAGTAAACAAAAAACTCAAGACCAAAGTTGTTCATCGCTTGCCCCAACATTTGGTTGTATTGCTGGAAGACTGGGCCGCACCTGAAGGCCCATGCAACATAAACGAGGAGTTGGTGCGTATGAAATTCGCAGTTAAATGTTGAATGCTCATTGGGAGAAAAACATGTCAGCAAGTCACCTGTACTGATGGTCGAGTTAAATAACGGGAACTTTATGTTCTGTATTAGTCAAAACTTGCGTGGTTTATTTTGGTTAGCTGTTCCATCGTATATTTTTTTTAACGAAGAGAGTTGCCGTGAGTTCTAGTAGAGTGCTGAATGAGACTTAACTGTCGCCTGTAAAAAGAATTATTAGTCTACATGTATTGATAGAATCGTCTTTCCTTTTGGTGATACGAGTTATATATTCTGCTTATATGTTTTCCCTTAAATTTAAATTTTACTACAATTATTCCCTCTTAAGTTGAGTGTAGATATTTACCCTTAAAGTACTGTGTACAGAACACATTCAGTTTTTTGTTCGAACTCATTACTTTATCTGTAGTTACAATCAAAACTGTCCAAGTGTTCCAACTAAATAAGCCTGATGATTACTTGTAATTTAATAATTGTTGTGAGATTTAGTCGTGTCACACAGCATACAAACTCCTGAAAATCATTTTTGGCCACCCTTATTATCTGATATGAAAAGGTCCGTCACTCTTGAAGGTTTGTAGTTTGAAGTGTTAAAATAAGTTAATTTGGTATATGGAAAGCACGTTCATGTAAATGACATGTTGAGCGTTGTCTGTGATTTATTTCCTATTAAAGTACTTTAAATTATCGTTAGCGTGAACTCGTTAACATTCATTTTCATCTCCAGTTCCAGCAATAACTACGTAAAGCCTCCTGGGCCACAGTTTGAGGAGAAAATGGACAAGATAAGCACATAAGGGTCCCATATTGTCAACAAATGTCGGGTAATTCCTTACCACTGGGTAAATCCGTTCAAACGTCTGTGCCTGGACTTAGTTTTGAATTATTCCCTGAAGACGTTTAATGCCACTACAACTGGTGTGGGCTGCTGTGTTATCACACAAAGTAGCACATATCTGTAGAGGCCATAGACATATCATTTCAAACCAACTGTTTAATTTATAAATTGTACAGTCCACCGTCTTTCTCGAAAAAAAGATCTGAGAGGCCCCAGTGAGGTGCTATGACTGTCAGCGTATTTTTACGGACCGAATAATAAATTGATAGATTTAATCGTTCAATGCATTTTTTCCTCCCTTTTCATTGCCGATAGCCCACCACAGGATATACACGCTGCTGTCTGACAGCGATTTGGTGAAATAATACCTAGTTGTGTCCACTTGAGTAAATTGGCAGCTTGGTTTTCAGAGTTGTTGGAGAGCGATATATCTTACGCTGGATAAAACTGTTCTGGATCAATGTTTTACAACAAAAAATCGAAACAAGCCAAATGACGCTTATAATTTTGTGATTGTCTTAAACTGTGTTAAGTTTCACACCAGGAAAGTTATTTTCATATAGATCGCGCGATGTATCCAAATTTGCCAACTGAATCACAAAAGTATGCATGTATTCACGTGATTTCTGAGAAAAGAGAGTCACATTCGAGGTGTTGCTTTGCGAAGAACATAGTTACGTGTTTGAGGATTTTTTGTCACGAATCCGACGAGAAAGCATGGGAGGGACTGGACAATTTTTTTGTTGGGGGAAGGGGAACTGGAAAACTTATTTGGCCAAGGAAATGCGATTTTGAAGATGGCGAATTCTGGACAAAAAATCCACAAACACTTAACGTGTTCTTCGCACAACCTCACTAGTTTAAAACTTCAATGTCGATGAAAAGCATTTTACTTTTTTTTTTCTCCGAAATCACGTGATTTTCCATACTTTAGTGATTCAGTTAGCAAATTTGGATATCTTCCTTGCTTATATACACAAAATTATTTTCGTCACTACGCTTTTTTTCATTTTTGCGTGTGTGAAGCTCATTAATTTGGCAGCCAGAAGTTTGTCTGTTTACGAGAGTCACGTGATCGAAAGGAATTCTACTAAGATGACTGGGCACTAGTTTTCAGATCCTCTAGATAATAAGAAATGGGTGCTAATTGACTGGTGCGAGTGGCTTCGTGTTTGCCGCTTCGCTTTTGTGTACCATTTATCGGTTTTAAGATACTTCATTTCTATGGAGTTATTTTTTTGTAAAAAAAATACCTCTTAGTCGGCAGGTATGGGGTATGTTATTCAATGGATCAGTGAGAGATGTATGTATGTCACACCAATCAGATTGGAGCTACTGTAAACAACCAACCAAATTGCCGCTTGTTAAGGTGAATCGTGTGTGGAGATTTTATCCTGATTTTAGAACGGGCATCTTTGTTCTTCTGCAAACAGAAACAGGTATTATTCTGACATTTCCGATGCTTCGTTTACTATGGTTGAGCCCAGGACTTTGTGGATCAGTTTCAAAGGAGCCGAAGAATCATAGTCTGGAATACACTAACATGTCATCACGGCTTTGCCCCGGGAAATTTCGAATGAAATTAGTCTCGGTAACTTGGTGAATTTCTAGGACAGGAACGATTGTTTTTAGTGCAAAATGCACTATTGGGATAGTGAGGGGGTTTTCGTCCGTGATGGTATTCGCCAGGCTCCCATCAATATTATTTGCATGACGTGCAGTTCACGAAAAAGAATTGAGTCCAAACCATTTGTGTTTGCGCAAAATTTTTTAACTTGTGAATGCAAGTTTCAATTAAGTAACGCTGTTCACGGAGTAACACTGTCTTCTCGTTGAACTGTTCCTTGGAATCGATACTGAGACACTCATTTGAAGAGGTTTTCTCTGTCAAAACCAAAGAAATTACAAACGGCTAGTTATGAATGAGAACACTGCTGAATTTTGAAATCTGTCTTTGTTGCAGTTAAATGTAACTTGACACTTTCGTGTTTCACGCACGAGTGGTTGCAATTAAAACTGATTAATCAGTGACTTGTTCACACCGTCAAAACAAGAACCCAATCAAGCGGCACGTCCAGAAACTAACTTGATATAAATGTTTGGACGTTTCTTTTCTTATTGGCTTAAGCGGCATTTTGCTATCTTCCATTAATGGCAATTCTTAAAAACGGGAATTTTTAGCAGAGATTTTCTTACAGGTTTGTGGTATGAAACCTTCAACTAAATAGCGCGGTCTTATTCTGTTGCCACCTTTGCCGTTAACAATTAAACCACTTCAAATTAATACACGATATCGCTTAATACAACTGAGAAGCGTTTCAACGAGAACCTACAGTACAAACTTTTCAACGACTGACACTGGAAAGCTGGTACACTAACTTGGAACAAACGCCGATGTCAACAACTACCGGCACCTTACAAATTACTTTGTCGACGACGTAAACGAAACCGACAAACGGACCTCTAAACAGACCAACTTAATTTGACTAACAGTAGGACTGATTTGGCTAACAATAGACGGATCGAAACCGACCAATGACTGATGACAACTTTACACGAATCTTACAGCCGATACCAACTGACCAATCACTTTCATCGGAGCAGATTTATAACACCATCGACTGACAAACACTGTTCACTTGACTTTGAAGATGACTTCTGCTCAAGTTGTCGAAACGTCAGTCACAATCAACAGTTCTTTTCAGAACTACCGTCGCTCGGACGATCGACGATTACACAATACGAACCAAAGAACGTTTTGATGTGAAGTATATATGAAATAATTCATATTTGAACTGCAGTTGTAGATGAAAGTGACGGATGATCATCGCAGTAAATTTTCCAATTTAAGCAATTGGAAAGAAGAAGCCTGAAAAAAAAA